AGAAAAAAAAAAGGGGGGGTGTGTTTTTTTTTTTTTTTTTTTTTTTTTTTTTTTTTTTTACGTACAAGCACGGCTTTATTTTTATAGGAAAAAATTATTGTGTGCCATTTTTAATGGTTGGTTTTCAGGTTAGTTGTTTTTTGTTAAAAGAAAAGACGAAGGACATGGGATTCAAGCAATTTGAGGCGTCCTGAAAGGTATTTATTATGTGCTTCACGTCAAGTGTCCGAGATGGTCTTATTTTTGACAGCCACTCTGTGGTCAGGGCAAAGGTTTAGTATCCAAAGTATAGTATCCAAACCCGTAGAGAAATCCTCTCATTGTTATTGTTATCAGTGAATCCACGCACAGTGATTCAATCAGTTAAAATGGACCTGATAAGATTGGAGTGTTTTAGTTATTTAATATTCAGTTAGTGCATTTCAAACAATTAACATAATATTTGGTTGGCCCGAATTTTCAACAGTGGACAGGGAAAAATAAAACTTTCCTGATGGGAAAAACTTATGAATGTAACCTTTCATTTAATTTATGAACATTCCAACCTTTAATTTAAAATGTGTATAATAATAAACTATTGGACATCTAAAGGTAACACACCATCATTTATGTATTTATGGTGTCTTAAAGAAAAAAAATGTTTGTTTGTTTGTTTATTTATTTAAAATAAAATTATTTTAACAAAAGGCCTATTTTGTTTTGGCCCATTTTATCTACTCCCATCAGTTTGAATATGTCATATTTATATGTATGAATGCAGCTTGCATTAATATGCCCATACACACACTTTCAACTTGCATACACTCATACCAACTTTATTGTTAACTATTATCAGTAAAAAATAAATAAAGTTACACACAATGAGTATTTAAATCTCTGTATAAATTTTAAATAGAAATGTTCACATATTCTACACAAAAGAGGTTCACACAGAATAGTAACACTGAATTGAATGAGCTTTAGTAAAGGGAGTTGTTTTTTAATGTTATAAATATTTCTCATTCTAACACACAAATACTCATTCGATCTGAAGGTTTTGCTGTACATGTTCCCTGGAGCATTTTATTTGACAAAAATGGTTCTGACACAGAGGGGGACTTCTGAAATAATAGCTCTTTAAATAGTTCCTGTGTTGTATTTTGTAACATATTTTAAACAAAATTGTAGAAGAGATCTGGAAATGTGCAGAGACATTTTAATGCAGCTCTAGATGATTTACCAGAAAGTTCATCCCTTCATCCCTATTCTGTTACTATCTCTATAAATGTTTGATTTAGCTCAGCATCGTCTTATCAGCCTCTCTGTTCTTTGACATGTTTAGGACTCATGGCCTTCAATCACCCGCACTCAAACCAGCATCTCTGATGACGCTGTGAACTCAGATCACATTGAAGCACTGAAGCAACGTTTGGTTTGATATTGTTCTCATCATGAATCTGACTGAGATTTGCGACAACGCTAAGAAAGGAAGAGAATATGCACTTCTTGGGAATTATGACTCATCTATGGTGTACTATCAAGGTGTTATACAACAGATCCACAAGCACTGTCAGTCCCTCAGAGATCCTGCCCTGAAAGTCAAATGGCTACAAGTAAGGCGTTCAAATACTGTATGATTTAATCTGATATGTATTTATTTATAATGCTGTGAATTACATTTGCTTGTATAGGTATTAGCCAATGAATACTGTGGTGTTGGTACAGTATATGTAATTTGAAGGACTCAAACCAATGCTGTTTTTCTCCCTTCTCTGAGCCCAGGTTCGGCAGGAACTGGCAGAGGAATACGAGCAGGTGAAAAGCCTTGTAAACACCCTAGAGAGTTTCAAGATGGACAAACCCATTGATTTCCCCAACCCTCTGCCTGAAGAGAGCCCAAGGGACCCTGGTGTCTGGCCTCCCCCAACCCCAGCTGAGCACAGGTAGAATAGGCAGCTGATTACATAAAGCCCTGAGGAGTTCTGTCAGCTGCAGAGCATGTCACACGTCTCCTATCTTCATGCTGTCACTGCTGTGTTCACTTTGTCATACAGCACAAAATGGAATTAGCTCAGTGAAAACATTCACATTGACACATTTTATTACATTTTTTAATCTTTATTTTATTATATATGTACAGTGGGTATAGAAAAGCATCACCCCCCTTTAAAATAATCACATTTTGTTGCTTTGCAGCCTGAAATGAAGACGGACACAGTTTTTGTTTTATCCAGCTGTATTTACTCAGTGCAAATTATAACATCCAAATGAAAGATATAACACCAACATGTCAGAAAAAAACTAAACAGAATCACTGAATTGGAAAAAGGATCACCCCCTTGTGTCAGTATTTTGTTGAACCACCTTTTGCTTTAATTACAGCATTTAGTCTGTTGGGATATGTCTCTACTAACTCGTCTCTACTATCTAGACTTTGCGATATTTGCCCACTCTTCTCTGCAGAAATTCTCAAGATCAGTTCAATTTGATGGTGAGCGTTTGTGGACTGCAGTCTTCAAGTCATTCCACAGATTTTCAATGGAGTTTTATTCTGGGCTCTGACTAGGCCAAGAAAGGGTATTCACCTTTTTCTCCTTCAACCACTGTGTGCTTTGGGTCACTGTCATGTTGGAAGGTAAAACTTCTTCCCATTGACAACTTTCTGGCTGAGGGCAGCAGATTTTCCTCAAGAATTTGACAGTATTTTGCCCCATCCATTTTTCCTTCTATTTTGACAAGTGCTCCAGTCTCTGCTGCAGAGAAATACCCCCATAACAGGATATTACCACCTCCATGCTTTACTGGAGGAATGCTGTTATTTGGATGGTGAGCTGTGTTGGATTTCAGCCAGATATATCGTTTGGTGTTGAGGCCAAATAATTAACTTTTAGTCTCATCTGTCTCAGAATCTTCTAGGTGTGTTTTAGCAAAGGTCAGTGATGACTGCATTTGGCCTTTCTTGAGGAGCGGCTTTTTCTTGCAACCCTCCCATACAAGCCACATTTATGGAGAATTTGTGATATTGTTGGCACATACACACAATGACCACTTTGTCATAAATTTCAACAACTGCTTCAGAGTTGCTGTAGGCCTCTTAGTAGCCTCTCTGACCAGTTTCCTCCTGGCTCTTTCATTCAGTTTGGAGCGACGTCCTGATCCAGTATTGTACCAAATACCTTACACTTCTTAATAATAGACTTCACTGTGCTTCTAGGCATTGATAAAGCCTTTGAAATGTTTGTATTCATCTCCTGACTTGTGCCTGTCCACAACTTTATCCCAGAGATCTTTTGACAGTGCCTTTCCACCCATAGCTGATTGTTTGCTTCAGTTGCACTAGCAAGAACTGAAATGCTGCAGGAAAGCTCTTTTCATGCTGAGCTGATCAAAATGACCACAGAAGATCACAGCTGAAAGTCAAATGGCTTTGTGTGCCTTTGAGAAGGTGATTAACTACACCTGATTGTACACTGGCAGTATATACGTGTGTATATATGTATCGGTAATTAAAAAAAAGTTTTTGAAAGAAGTCTCATATGCTCACCACATTTCTTATTATTATCAATGCTGAAAACAGTTGTGCCGTTTAATATTTTTGTGGAAACCATGATAAAAAAATTTGATGAAAGTTCTAAAAAACAGCATTATTTATAAATGTCTATGCTGTCCCTTTTGACCAATTTAATGCTTCCTTGCACCCAATGTATTATATAGACATTATATACGTACATCTAAATTATATTGACTAAATTGGTTCACAAATTAAGCACCAAAAAAAAAAGCCAGTCAGAATGGCCTAACACAAATGTGGTGTAACTGTTTGCATATGTGGTCACATGGTCCAGATGCCCTATGATGTCACTCTGTCTGGTCATAGGGGACCTGTCCAGGTGAAGAAGCCAATCACTGTATCAAAGCCCCAGAGAAAAGAGTCACCTGGATTGCAGCATCGCGGACCTGTGGGAAGAGGTCAGCCAAACGTGAAATCAGAGAGACCGAACACCCGCGACGGCCGTGGAAATAAAGCTAAGGATGAAAAAGTAAGTTATTCAAACTATTAGGCCGAATGTACAAACTGAGGAAACTCAGAATTGGAATTATGGTTGATTTAGTTTCAGCTCAGACAGTTTAGGATTTCTAAGTACCTATTATCATGTGTTGTAGCAATGTGTCCTGCCTGTCTGTGTTTTCAGAGTAAGAAGAATGCCCAGGAGGGTGCTGCTGATGTGGAACAGAGGAAGTTTGATGGCACAGGCTATGACAGCGATCTGGTGGATGCGCTGGAGAGGGACATTGTGTCCCGGAATCCCAATATCCACTGGTATTGTGCCATTTTACTTCTAGTTTTACTGTTCAAGGACTTATCAGTATATAGTATACAAAATAAACGTTTTATACAATTTTATTGCTCATTTACAATAATTAAATTGAATAATGTGTGATATTTCATCACCGTGCACTCTAGATGTTGTTATCAACTATTGAAAAAACTGGGCCTGGCACAATCATGAATTTTGTACTGTTGATTAATTGTCAAACAAATAATTGCGATTTAACGATTTAATTGTCTGTTGTGCTCATGTCTCTTACAGTATGAGCCTAATAATTTATTTTTTATTTTTTACTTATAATTAAAGGCACAATATGTAATCTTCGCCGCTAGAGGGCACGTATTCAAAATAAACAAAGAGGCACAAGTCAGCAAAATATATAACACTGTTCTAGTGGTTTTTGGATATTTTAATAAAAAAAATCTTACATATTGTGCCTTTGAATAGGCCCATTTGATTTTCTTTAATGCTGTGAAAATATATTTTAAAAGTTAAAATATTTATTTTTATTTTCCACTTTAATTTTGGTCCAGGTCACATTCACACAGGAGCCCACTAATAATGGGTGAATATAAATTTTGAGGTTTATGCACTTAAATTTCTATTTTTGAATGGCAAAATGCAATTAAAATATAAAAAAGCAGCGGAGCTTTTATTATGCCACAGTCGAGCGCTTCCGCTGCTTCCGGTCGTGCGTATGTGGGGTAAAGCAGCGGAGCTTTTATTATGCCACAGTCGAGCGCTTCCGTTGCTTCCGGTCGTGCGTGTGTGGGATAAAGCAGCACTGTTTTATCATACTAGATACATTTAGTTCTGTTATAATGCTACTCTGTGCGGTCGTCACAAAGTGTCTTTGGTGTTTCCATGTTTTCTCCAAAACAAAGCCGGAAATCGAGGGGTTATGACATCATTCTTTGAAACATTTGGGATAATGTAAGTACACAAGTCAGCAAAATATCTAACACTGTTCTAGTGGTTTTTGGATATTTTAATAAAAAAAATCTTACATATTGTGCCTTTGAATAGGCCCATTTGATTTTCTTTAATGCTGTGAAAATATATTTTAAAAGTTAAAATATTTATTTTTATTTTCCACTTTAATTTTGGTCCAGGTCACATTCACACAGGAGCCCACTAATAATGGGTGAATATAAATTTTGAGGTTTATGCACTTAAATTTCTATTTTTGAATGGCAAAATGCAATTAAAATATAAAATGCACAATTATCGTGGTTCTCTCAAATTCACGATTAGATCAAATAATAACTACTTATAACTGTTAAACACTATATACTAATGTACAAAGTGTCAGTTCACTTTTACTCGCTCTTACATATTTATTCATTAGCTAATTTGATTATGCTTTTAGCATCCAATAAGATTTAGAACTTTAAATTCAAATCCAAATCTTTTTTTCTATGAAAATCATTCCTGAAAATTTGAAAATCCCTCTGAGCCTAGGAATTGGCTGTATAAATAGCAATGCAGTAAGTTTAGTTTTCATACTTGACCAGACAAATAAGTAACATGTTGAGTCAGCGACAGCTGTCAGTCACAGTGGCAGTTAGTGTTTCAGTGCTGGACGGTGATTTAGGCAAGCTGTCATGTGTTACTGTTCCTGCAGGGATGATATCGCAGATCTGGAAGATGCCAAAAAGCTGCTGAGAGAGGCAGTGGTCCTGCCTATGTGGATGCCAGACTTCTTCAAGGGGATCCGCCGCCCGTGGAAGGTTAATATGTTAGATGACACTTGATGCCAGAGTTTGACATCTGAGCATACACACATATGGATTCATAGTCTGTCAATACTATGTTTTTGCCAACATTTATGTTCCCATTTGTTTCCATTTCTTGTAATCATAGTTTTTTTAGTCCTGCAGGGGGCGCTGTTATACTGGATCATTATGTAGGACAGAATGCACATTTTTCAACACAAGCTCACCTTAGTTCTGTATAATTTGTCACAGATTGAGTATGGCTGATATATTTCGCCTTCAGTTTTTCTCCACATGCCATCAGTTTTATTGAGGTGTTTTTAACTCAAACCATCAGCTGCACCTGTGTGTTTTAAATATGTGCCCATGCAAAGTCTTGTTGTTTTTAAACTGTCAGGGGGTGCTGATGGTGGGCCCTCCAGGCACAGGGAAGACCATGTTGGCTAAAGCGGTTGCGACCGAATGTGGCACAACATTTTTCAATGTGTCATCCTCCACGCTGACCTCAAAGTACAGGGGAGAGTCTGAGAAACTGGTGCGGCTCCTCTTTGAAATGGTGAGTGATCTCTGAGGAAGCATTGCAGACACTGTGATAGTGTTTGTCTATTTAGTTGTTTATTATCTGAAGATATAATTTGATAGTGATTAGGATCAGGAGATAACTAGGCCTCATGGCACAAATCATAGAAAATGATACAATATATATGTCCCATATATTTAAAATGTCTCAGTTAAAGACCCCATGGTAAAGCTCCTTTCTAGACAGTTTCTGGATTATAAAAATGGTTTTGGAACAGGCAAAAAAAAACTAAAATCAGCATAGAAAACATAGTTAGTTAGTTAGACAACTTATAAGTAAAAAATACCCCTGAAAATAAATGTTCATTTAGCATTAATTGCCAAAAAATGCTACTAAAGATCAGGTAAAAAATGGTACAAAAAAAATACTTCTGAAAATTTGTGACAATAACTTGTGTCTTTATAGGCAAAGTTAGGTAGTTAGTCGGTTAGTTAGTTAGCAAGCAACATTTAGTTAGAGAAAAAGATATGGTCTCTTAAAAGGTAAAAATACCCTTGACAAGGAATGTTAAACTGACACATGGATGACACACTGTGCGTTATATAAGGGAAATATTATTTAGTTAGTTGGTTAGTTAGTCAGTTAGAGAACAATATGCCTTCATAAAAACAAACAAAATACCACTGAAAATAAATTATGATTTTAAATTAATGGCAAATGCGCTGTGTGTTTTCTAGGGGAAAAAATGAGTTGAATAGTTGGTTAGTTAGAGGAAAAGGATAGAGAACACATGCCCTCATAAAATGTAAAAGTACTCATAAAAGTCAGTGTTGATTTTACATAAATGTGTAATATGCTGTTTTTATAGGGAAAAAGTTAGTTAGGTTGGTAGTCAGTTAGTTAGTTAACCAGCTAGTTAGTTATGCCCTCATAAAAGCAAAAAATGGACATTACACTGTTTTAATAGGGAAAAAGGTTTGTCAGTTAGTTAATCAGTTAGTTAGGTTGCCAGGTTGTTGGAGAAAAAATATGCTTTCATAAAACGTGAAATAAAAAAACACTGATAAGCAACAGTGATTTGACACAACTGAATGACACATTGTGTGTTTATATAAGAAAAAAAGGCTTGTTAGTTAGTTATGTCATGTAATAAAATAAAATAAAAAAAATCCAGACTCTGATGGTGTTAAAATGAAGTAATATAATTTATGATAACATAATATGTAATCAACTAAAAAAGTTGGTCATGTTATAGTCTATATTATCTATACTGGATGTTTGCACTTCTTTTTTTTGGTTGTTGTTTTTACAGGCTCGTTTTTATGCCCCTACAACAATTTTTATTGATGAGATTGACTCTATTTGTGGGAGGCGGGGCACATCAGACGAACATGAGGCCAGTCGCAGAGTGAAGTCAGAATTACTCGTGCAGATGGATGGTGAGTTTTGTGTAGTAGGCGACTCTGTTATGATAGTACATTGAATGATGCAGCCTTATTTTAACACCCACCCATGTAATGGCTTCAGGTGTAGGAGGTGCTCAAGAGAATGACGATCCCTCTAAAATGGTAATGGTCCTGGCTGCCACTAACTTCCCCTGGGACATTGATGAGGCTCTAAGGAGACGACTGGAGAAGAGGATCTACATTCCACTACCCACTGGTAATCTAACACCCTCACACACAAACGCCCATCAACAGGAAAACATTCTCCAGGCAGTCACGGCTCCTCTGATTTCTCCATACATGTCACCCACTCATAAATGAACCAGCCTGACTAATTTCTCTCCATTCACACTGTGCTGTGTAGTTCAGTTAGTTAGTCATTTCTCACGAGCTTTCATTGTCTAATGCAACTCCTTTGTTATAGTTACAGGGCCTGGATTTTTGAATTTTAAATTGGATGAGAGATGAAAATGTCACATTTTAAAAAAGTCATATTTCTCCCCCAAAACATTTTTTTTTTAATTATATAAACACAAATAAAAGGAAGTTTATTTCTAGGACCATGAAGATGTTTCTAATTGTGTCCTTTTTCCTGACACTTAAGCACATTTTGAAATATGAATAATAATAGTAAAAAAATTCAAATAAAACCAGCATAAATTAAAATCAAAATAACAAAGGCATTTACAAATACTTTATAATAAAATTATTATTTTATTGTTTTTTGTTTTCATTGCTAATTTAATATAACTTAAATAAAATATTCTAAAATTAAAATGTTTTAAATTAAAAATATATTTACCATATTTCCTGGAAATTAAGTCGCACCATACTAGAAGTCGGATCGTTTCTAAACTGCTTTGTTGAGAGGAACAAAAAACACAGATAAGTTGCATCAGTCAGATAAGTCACGTATGATTATCACATTCAGAAGTAATGTAAAATACCAGGTAAATAAAAAATAAAATGGCATTTTTCAAACATTATATAAACACTTTAAGCATATATTTTAGTTCTCCTTACTCCACAACAAATAACAAATGCATTTAATGGTATTCAGAGCAGAACAGGGATTAAAAATGTATGTATTAAACAAACATAAATTATAGTGGCATTCATTATAAACAACATTTATTTTAAACACCAAGCCTAAACAAATTTATTTAATGTGAAACTAAAACTATGATGATAAAAAATTACTTGTATTTAAAAAAATACAAAAATACCGTAGTCAAAATAGCCTCATGATGATCTATTTTTTAATCAATATAGGAAAAAAAACAACACTAAATCATTTGTCTTATAAAAACATTTCATCAAACAATTACTGAACTCAACAGCTCAAGGACGGGCAGAACTCTTAAAGATCAACCTAAGGGAAGTGGAAGTAGCATCTGATGTGGATCTCACCCTCATCGCTGAGAAAATTGAGGGTTATTCAGGAGCTGACATCACCAACGTCTGCAGGTACAGTATGTTTTCAGGATTACAGATAACACCTTGTCCTAACTGAACACGATGTGACAGCTCTTAAGCATCAAGTCATTTTTCTTCTCTAAAAACATAATGCAGTGCAAAGTGACAAAATCACAGCCAAAAAGAACAGACTCAAGCTCAACAGTGCTTGCCTGGGGCCCGTTAGTATTTTTTCCTTTCTTTTTAGCCCTTCATTGTTGCAGAAAATTCCTGAATAGAAGAGCTATCTTGAACCAAAACAACAAGCTCTTGCTGTTTCATGGACCTATTCGTCCCATAAAGCACACAGCATATTGCCCAACTGAAAACGATTTAATCAATTTAGTATGGGTTTATATGTTTTGTTTCTGCATAATAAGGGAGGGGAGAAAGTATTTTACTATCTTGCACTTTAATGCTTAAAGGATTCGTTCACCCAAAAATAGAAAATTGCTGAAAATGTACCCTGATCTTCTGATGTAGATGAGCTTGTTTATTCATCAGAACATATTTGGAGAAATGTAGCATTATATCACTTGCTCATCAGTGGATCCTCAGCAGTGAATGGGTGCCGTCAAACAGCTGATAAAAACATCACAGTAATCCACACGACTCCAGTCCATCAGATAACATCTTGTGAAGCAAAAAGCTGCATGTTTGTAATAAATACATAGAGACATTTTTAATGTCATACCATTGCTTCCAGCTAAAATAAGTCCTCCATCCATAATATTGCCTTTTCCAGTGAGAAAGTCATCTCTTCTGAATCAGGAGAGAAATATGCACAGATCACGCATTGTTATAAACAAATATGTTGGTGGATTTTTATGTGAGAGGACAACAGGGAATTGACTTGGATGGATTGTGGACTATTTTTGCCAGAAGCAACAGTTTAATGATGGATTTGTTTATTACAAACACTTCACAAGACATTAAATGATGAATTGAGTCATGTGGACTACTTGTGGATTATAACAATGTTTTTATCAGCTGTTTGGAATCTCATTCTGACGCCACCCATTCACTGCAGAGAATTCATTATTTTAAGTAAGTGATGCAATGCTAAATTTCTCAGAATCTGTTTTAATGAAGAAACAAACTCATGTACATGTTGGATGGCCTGAGGGTGAGTAAATTATCAGCAGATAATCATTTTGGAGTGAACTATTCCTTTAAATTAAGCTGCATGCTCCAAACACGTGAATTGATGATGTTAATTTGACTAATGGACTTTGTGCGTCTGTGCTCTCAGAGATGCATCGATGATGGCGATGCGACGGAGGATCCAGGGTCTGAGTCCAGAGGAGATCCGTGCTCTTTCTAAAGATGAGCTGCAGATGCCAGTCACCATGGAGGACTTTGAGCTTGCACTCAAAAAGATCTCAAAATCAGTCTCGGCTGCAGACCTGGAGAAATACGAGTCCTGGATGTCTGAGTTTGGGTCTGTGTAAAGAGAAAGGACAGCTACAAGATAAGTGTGAATGTGGGAGAACACATCGTGGACCGATACTTGAGAAAAGGCACGGTTTTATGTTTCAAGACATTTTAATATGCAAAGATGATACAGAAAACTAGTCATACCAGTGTTCAGATGCGTTTGGACATGTTTGGACCGAGAACAGTCGCACCTTCATTTGTCAGAAATGAACTACCAGTCTGTGTATGACACTGAGCCACATTTATTTGTTTCTAGCATCTCAGTTTCAAGTGTTTCTAACTTCCTTCTCTGCTAACAGATGGAAATCACCTGAGTTGCTAATGACCTGTCTTAAGTTTCAAAACTGAAACGCCTGTGAAAATGATACTTGACAAGGGAGACCAGCATAATCCTGGTGCTGTGCTGGATGTTTTTTAATGTTTACTAGTGTGTAGACATTCATATGTGCTGTGTTCTTTTATTTGTTTTACTTGATAGTTATAATAAAATTAACATTTGTTCTCTACCTATTTAATGTCAAAATTTACTTATTTTCTCATTACACACACACACAAAAAAAAAAACAGTTTTAGGATTTACTTTGAAACTATTTTTAGTCAGATTTTGATTTTTTTTTTAAACTGCAATTAATGCATTGAATTAAACATTACATTTTGAAATAGAAAGACAGAAACTGTATTTTGCAATGATACTAAATATGAATGATACTAGATACGATTTTTGTTTTTACTGTGTGCACATGATTTATCAGTGCATGTTGTTCTAAAGAAAAACATTGTTTCTCTTCATTATCTTTCATCAAAATATAATAACTTGCTCTAGCTCTGAAACTAATTTTCTTTCGGATGATTTCAATAAGACTGTGCAGGCTTTTGGATAATATCAACTGATTAATTCAACCTCCGCCCACTTTTTGTGATCAAAGTAATTTTTAGTGGATGAAATGAAGTCCCACCCTACTTGTTTTTATCTTTGAATTTCCTGGTTAACTCAGAAATGTACGTTAAATTGCCGAAGTAAAGTGTTTTGCTCTTTCATTTTTTTTCTTTTATACAGTATATTAGCGAAATTTCTGTATAATTTCACAGACAACAAAGAACTGTTCTCTATTGTCAGTAGTGAAGCACAGCTTGCAAGTCACTTTCCTACCAAGCAGGATTCTTGCGTGAACCCATTGTGAAATTTGTTTGGTGAAATCGTCTGCCCTCACAAGAAATGTCCAATTGCATGGATTCCTATTGACTTGACTTGAATGCACCTGCAAAAATTTGCCGAACAACGATAAATGTGACCACACGTTTACAAGTTACAAATTGGAAGCATTGTCCAAAATGTCTAAAAAAAACAAACAAAAAAAACGAATCCTTGATTAATACTCATTATTTATTGTATTAGATTAGTATCAGAAGTACAATTTCACAATTGGAACTTGGCAATCAACACACCTGATGTTCAAGCATTTACAGTTTGTATGACAGCTTGGTAGTAACCAGATCTGGATCCATGATGGGCGATGAGTTTGTGAATTTGTTCTCGTGTCCTACAGCAGCAGAAGGGTGTGATTCAGTCGTCAGGAGGGAGGACAGTGGGGGAAGAGGATGACTCTGTTGTTGTGGTCCGTGCTGTGTGAGCGTGGGCTGTGTGTGGAGTTTATTGTTTTCTGACTACTTCAGAGTTAATGCGGTGACTGTCATGATGTGTTGTCAGCCCGAAGCGAAGTTTCCTGATTGTTATGAAATCAGCTTTTTTTATTTTTTCTCCATCACCCAGTTTTGGCCAGCATTAGAAGTCATAAACTGACAATACTAAACTAGCATTATACCAGCACAGATAGCATCCAGTTAAAGTGGTTAGCGAGTGGTTGGTGAAAAAGATGCAGGTTTTGAGTCTGTGTGAATCCAGATGGAAGTGGCAGCTAGTGTATATCCAAAGAGAGTGTGAATGAATCGTAAGTATGGACAACAGTCCGACCGGCTGACGAGAGGCCCGGTGATGGCATGACGTGGCATTTGTGCGGTAGAAATCGAGGATAATGGTCAATACTTGTTCTGAAGCGTGGCTCTTTAAAGGCTACTACACATAGCTACGACACAGACCAGCTGCTCTTATGTTCTCTGATGATTTGTCTCCACTGAGCATGTTGTTCAGGAAAAAATTAATTTTATGTAAAAAGCTGTACACTATTTCATACATGTGCTTTATCTGTGTCAACAGCATATTTATATTAGGTTACACATTGGGGTCCAAATGACTACTGGAAATGCTTCTAATTGAATCCCCCCCCCCTAAATTATATAAATATATATATTTATAATATAACAAAGAACATTTTTGAAATGTATTTATATTACATTTATATTTATATTATATTACAAACAACAGTTGTGTTAAATTAAAATCATATATTTATAATTTATCATTTATTTGTTTGCACACACACACACACACACACACACATATGTTCTATATCTATATCTATCTGTCTAAATGTGTGTGTGTGTGTATGTATGTGTATATATATATATATATATATATATATATATAT